ATATCGGCCCAATATTTTACTGTGATTTTTCCACATTTAAGACTGTAATGAAGAATAAAAAGAAAATCTGGAAAATGCTAGAAAAACAGAATCTAAGAACAATCTTACGAAATTATCCATAAAAAATTATTTTCTTAAATATGTATTCATTTGTTCAAAATAACACTTAACAGGAAAACTAACAAAAACAGTCACTACATTTGTAACTCCACCTGATGCCACTAGGGGCGCACAAAGGACACTTCATCTTCAAACTGGATGATATTTCACTATGATTTTTCCACATTCAAGACTGTAATGAAAAATAAAAATATAGAAATTATCTTACGAAATTATCTATGACAGTTTTTATTTTAATTAAAATATAACATTTTTATTTAAGTAAAAAATTTTACCTGTCAGTCATTATATTTGCAATTCCGGTTGATGCCACTAGGAGTGCACAATGTAAAATTTTGATAGATATTTAATAATTTGCATATAATGATCTTTACCAGAGACAACAGCCGTGTGAAACTGGCCTTAAAGGGGGCTGAGGGGTCTAATGCTATTTCATTCATTCTGACTTTTTTACACAGTTAAAGAGTTGGATTCTCATGCTAAACATGGCCAAAATTTTCAAAAAATGAGATGAACATATGACAAAATATTTCTGTGCCAAAAACACTCCTTCAGGGTTCATATAAGTTTCGAAAAGTTTTTTTTTTCTGAGTATGGCCCTGCATGACTTCCTAAAGGATGGAATTCCTTGTATGGGCACTTCTCCCGGAAGAGCGCACACACATCAACCAGAGCGAGAGCGACAGCAGCAAATCAACGCGCTTCATTCGGGCTGCAGAAGTCGTCGGCAGCTCAGCACAGGACTTGCTCAAAAAGGATTTGTCATTTTGTTTTGAGACCACGAAATCAACAGTCACCAAAGAAGTGTGTTTTTGGTTGTAAGGGAAAGATAACCTTGTTCAGCTTCTCAAAGAACCCAGCGTTATGGGAACAGTGGATGCAGTTTGTTTCTCCGGGGCAACAACGGAGTTGTGCAAGTGTGTTTGTTTGTTCCCAACATTTCAGTGACAAATGTTTTATAAACAAATTAAATCAAATTTAAGTAAATAAAGTTTTTGTTCCTGTTTTATTAATATCGATGTCACAGCTTGCAGACGATCGCTACGCAAAAGCTGCGCGTGCTCGTGACTCTTTAGCTCCGCCCACGGCACACCTCCAGGAGCTCAACAGTTTTCAGAGAGAAGCGTTAAACTGTATCTGTCTTTTATAAATCTGATCAAACTAAAGACTCATCGGAGATATGAAGTATGGAGTACTACAGTACTCTATGGGTTCTCACGAGATTGGCAGAAACTGTGTGTGTTATGTCCCCTTTAAGGTGTCACTTTGCATATGACATGAGTGAAAAGGGGTAGTTATAGTTAACTAAAACTAATAAGAAATTTTACATGAAAAACTTAAAATAATTTAGCCTTAATTATTAAAATAATAAAATAATTAAGCCTTAGTAGCTTCACTGAAATATTTAAGTTGAAGCACTAAAACTGCTAACTGGAAAGTTATAAAAACAAACTCAACCAAAACAAATATAAATAAAAATAAATTAAACATAATTAGTAATACTTAAGAAAAAACAAAAGAACAGAAAATTACAAAAACATACAAATAAAAGCTAATTTCCAATTAATAGAATATTAACAGAAACTATTATAAATAACACTGGACCAAAAGCCTAACTCATCACCTCCCATCAAGGTTTTTGCTAAGAGGGACAGTCAGTCAAGAGTTAAGGACAAAACACAAGCATAAATAACTTACAGGTCCTCTCTGAGAGAACCATAGTTTACATGAATTACTCTGTAGCCTCTGGCAATCTGCATATCAAGCAGGATTTAGCAAACAAACAACTGGCATATCTGCTTACCATCAACGTATCGAGGAGGGGATGTTGGGGAAGATTTAGGAATAGGCTGTTTGGCCAAGACTCACTGCAGGCCACTCTAGCAGATATACACGGAGGAAAGAGCGTGTTCGCTAAGCACATAGTTTTAAAATGGACTAGTCATGAGTTACCTGAGTGACTAATATTACAGGTTTAGTCCACCAAAAATCCTATCATCATTTATTCACCATCATGTCCTACCAAACCTGTATGAAGTTATTTCTTCGGCAGAACATGAAAGAAGATATTCTGAAGAATATTTGCGCCCAAACAGTTTCGGTTGCCATTGACTTCCATTGTATTATTTTTTTTTTTTGTCCATACAATAGAAGTCAATGGGAACCAAAACTGTTTGGTTGCAAACATTCTTCAAAACATCTTAATGTATGTTGTGCAACAGAAAGAAATGAATTCAGATTTGGAACAGAGGGTGAGAAAATTATGACTCAGAAATGAAAATTGTGTCATATGTTCACCCTCGTGTCAGTTGGGTCCAAAACAACATTGGGTTCCACTGACTTTTATTGTATGGACAAAAAAAAAAGAACATCATACAAGTCTGAAGAAAGAGCTTCATACAGGTTTGGAACAACATGAGGAAGAGAAAACAATGCCAATTAAAATTTTTGGGTGAACTGTGCCTTTAAGAAAAAACCCTGAATAATTAGACTGGTATTAGGGGTATTTAAGACATGTTCTTGTGTTCACAAATACCTAGAGTGCAACCGAATGAAGGATTTTTTATTTTATTTTATTTTTTTAATTTAAATGTGACACACTGATTTAAAAACGTAACTCATGTTGTGGCGCCAAAAAAAAAAAACAGTGCGAGACATGATGCAACAGTCAAAGATGTCTGTTTAAATGTGTATGGCTACAGACGCAGTGTTTTGAATATGTTAAATTTAGAAGACGCACATTTTCCTGAGAGGATTTTACAGTGCAAACTGTAAAAGCTAACGTGCATCACACTGTCAGCATGTTAATTAGAGCACCACAGCTAAAATATTAAAACTAAAATATACATCTACGAAAAAATTGTCAACCATCATGTCCTATTCCTAGCAGGCAAACGCATGAACATAAAAACACGCCTCTAGTTCTCAGACTCTTCAACAAACACCTACTACCTTATTCACAGTTGTCTCAGGGGATGACAACACTGGTAAGTGAAGCTGATGCAATGATGTCACACATGCAGCAAGTCTGTGTACATGTGCGCATTTCTCTCACCCCACAGTGCAATGGGGAAGTTGTGATATTCTCAACAGGCTTGGATGACATGTGTCACATTCTGATTGCCCCCTCCTTCATCTTTTTTTTTCTCCTTTCAGGCTCAAATGTTCTCCTGGGGGTAAAAGGGTGTGTGGGTGTGTGTTTGACATAGTGGCACTAAATCGAATGTTGGATACCACTTGTCATTGGCTTCTTCTTTAAAGCTTTTCATTTTGAGGCTTCTTACGAGAAGGTTTCAACGGTCCGCAACCTTAAGACATCTCTGAACGTATATATATTTCTACTGCAAATCTCTAGAACCTCTGTAATACCAATGGTTGACAAACATGAACCATCGTGCCAAACTGAGCACAATAGGAAACATATAAAATACTAAGAAATTCTGAAAATTATCCAATGTTTGACTTAAATTGCTCATGATATAATTTAGAATGGAAAAAAATAGTATTTAAAAAGGAATAAAGAAGCAACTTCACTATTAAGGATTTTGGTACAATTAACCACAAAAAAACAATAATCTAAAGTTGCAGAAGAATATAAAGTAAAAACAAACAAACAAATAATAATAATGTCATTTCAAAATAAAAAATAAAATAACACTTTATAATATTTATTAATGAAGCAAAAGCAAAGAACAAAACAAAAACAAAAACAAAAAATCAAGCAAAGCCATATTTGCATCTGTGATGCCAAATTAATAAACAATCAAACAGTAATAATATTAACTGCAATATCAAAAAGAAAACAGAAAAAAATAAAACAATAATATTTAATAATTTAATAATAAAGCAAACCAAAGCAATGCAAAACAAAATAAAAAAACGACATGGTCAACCAACAAATTTCCTGGCACCCACTCAAAGACATTATTTAGAGGTCAAAAAACAGAAAAAGGAAAAAAAAGTATAAAAGCAATGTTACTGGTGCCATATTTCTATATGTGATGCCATATTAATAAACAAACAAATAAATAATAATAATATAAAATGTCGTCAAAATAAAAAAATAAAACCGTAAAATATATTAATTTATAAAATAAAGCGTAGAATAAAACAAAACAAAATGCAAAGCGTAGAATAAAACAAAACAAAAAGCAAAGCAAAGCAAAGCGAAAAACAAAACAAAATGAGACAAAGCAAAGCAAAAACAAAACAAAAAAAATGCTATAAACAAATAATGTCAATATTTAGAGGTCCAAAAAAAGGGGAAAAAAGGCACAAAAGCAATACTGCTGGTGCTATATTTGCATCTACGTTGCTCTCTGTGCATCCAAGTTTCCTGCAGGTTACTTCAGGAGATCTGTCTGGCATCATAGCAACAATATGTCATTGTTATACCATTCACTATGGCTGTGTACGGCCGCAAAGACTACTGTCGGACCTCCTTGTGTGTTTTGTGCTTTGAATGTCGTTGCAATTGCCAGCCATCCTCAGAAGCACACAACCGTCAATGGAAACACTCTCGCTGCACCCCGCTATGTTTATTTTTGTGCGTCTGGAATACTTTTGTGCAACTGGGCAACAATGACTCACTGGCTTTTTGCGTAAATGGAGCAGTTTGGAAAAATTGAGAGAACAAATGAATTGACATTTGCTATCACTGCATCCCCAAGCCCTGCGTTGAAAGCATCGGATCAATGCCTGCAAATGTCCTCGGGGAGAAGTACCATGAAACAGCTCAAAGCCTGATCTTAAAAGGCTGGGTTATCGACTGATTTCTGCTCCAAAGGCTTTAGCTCTCTGTCTAAAACATACGGCTTTAGCTTTGACTGGCATGGTGGCTGTCTTAAAGAGGTGAGGCAAAAGGCTGGCAGCGGACTTACCCCCGGCAGTGTCTTCTGTTCGTGGAGGGCGTTCTGGGCTTTGATGGCCGACTCGCGGGCGCAGTAGGTGAGGAACGCGCAGCCTGTGTGACAAAAAGGAAAGGAGACTTTCAATGACTTCGATAGACAGTGGTCTTGAACTCAATACTGCCTGATATCGACGGGTGGCCAAAGTCATTTCAAGTAACCAAACAGCTTCCTGTAGCAAATAACAGTGGCCAGACAATCAGGACAAAAGCATTTACATTTATTCATTTAGAGCAGGCACTTACATGCATAGCGACTTTCAAATGAGTACTATAAGGGTAGTAAGAAAGAACACTATACAAATAGTGCTACTTTTGCTTAAAAAAAACCCTGCTTAAACCAGCCTAAACTGGTTTAAGTTGGCCTCCCAGCCTGATCAACTAAAAAGTGCACAAAACCCATCTAAAACCAGCCAACAGACCAGCCTGATCAGGTTTGGGGACCAACTAAAACCAGCTTAGTCTGGTTTAAGATGGCTTTTTCCAGCAGGGACTTTGCCAAATTTTAGGTAGAGCAAAAGATTAAGTGCAGAAAACTACAGAAAAGTAGCATCCACCACAAGACTAAAGTTAGTCACGCATTCCACAGGTTCTTGTTTTCTCTCAAGTTGTTGCGCAACTAATCTTTACGGAATTAATCACAAACTCACGTCAATTACAAGATCTACAATCCCAAAATAGCAAATTAACTATGACCCAAATATCTTTGATCCCAAAATTCACTTTTGTACAAACTTGGCAACACAAGACAATGAAAAAAAACTTGCGTTTGTTTTTGCACTGAACAGGAAAAGGAGACAGAAAATATGAAGAGTTTGGTTCCAAAACGCTATAAATCCATTTTGATTAATTTGACTAATCTTATTAATAGCTTACGTTTCTTCCCCACCGCAGAAACCAACACAGGTTCATCAATGCGGTCAAAATTATTCCTTTTTTTTAGGGCTGCACGATAAATAGCATGCGATTGTCACGTGCATCTCGTCAGTAAAGCCGGTTCTGTGATTAGTAGTAAATCTCTATCATGTGTTTTCAGATGGAGCGGCATTTAATACACAGAGCCATAGATCACTGACAAGCTACGCAATATCGCATTCGTAATCGAAGGCGATTCATCTGCGATTATGAACGCGATATTGCGTAGCTTGTCAGTTACTGTTTACAATGCGTGGAATGGTGCGCTGTGATTGGTTGAGCGGATGTATCGCATTCTGCAGAGAAGGGAGACTGGCGTTTGTCGCGGTTTGGAAAGATAGGGAGAAAACATGACAGAATAACACGGCGGATATCGCATTTTGTGTAAAATTAAAAATTTTTCAATACTGACCAGATACAATACTGATTTTGGCGGGAACTCAATTTTTTTTTAAATGGCGTTTATCGCGTTTTGGAACCAAACTCTTCATATGTAATTGAGATTGTGTCTCACAAGTGTGCACATTAGAAAAGTGTTGCGATTAGCAATCTAGAGGTTTTGTCGCTGACTAGTTGCAGATTTAAATAAATCTTGGCTTTAGTTAGTCAGTCGATTGTAAAGTTTTGTATGATTTCTGTTTTCAGAAGACTGTAATGGATTCTGCTATTTGGGAGAATGTTGGTCGGATCTACCAGTGAGGAACAGTGAAAGTAAAGGTTTCTGGAAAAAAGCCCAAAAAAGTAAAGATAAATAAATAAACATAAAAGTGATGTTGGTTGCTAATGCCATATTTGGATCCATGATGCCAAATATGTTAATCTTGGTGCCTAAGAGTTCCCTAAAAGTTACTTCTTGGCTTTTTTTATCCATTTGCTTCTAGAAGTGCCGTATGTCTTCTGTTTTCAGAAGATTGGGACAGTTTGTGCTATTTGGAAGAAGGTTGGTCAGTTCCACCACTGAGGAACAGTGAAAGTGAAGGTTTCTGAAAGTTACCTTGATGAATTCACTTATCACACAGAGCGGGAAGGGACATGAATCTGGGAAAGCGAGTTTAGGTAAGAGGCTGCAGACCCAAGATGGTCCTGTATGCTAGCATCAAAGCTTTGAATCATAGACCAAAATTGATCATTTAATTCAAGATTCAAGTCCACCCACAACATTGTGTTTCTATCGAGTATCACCGCTCGCCAGCACAGGAAAAACGAGCCAGCACAAAGCCTCTGCGTCCCTTACAATGGCAAGGCCAGAGGTGCTGCAAGGAGTCCCTGCAGACAAGCTAAATACAGACAGTCTATTTTCTAACATGGGGGAGCCTGTCCAGTCCGCTTTACACTGGATGTGCCCATGTGTGTTTCTGTGTACGTGTGCCTGTGTGTGTGTGTGTTTGAGCAAGTCCATAGATCAGCCAGCCGTCCCTGTCCGAGACTCTTTGCCAGCTGGAATAAGCCCTGACTACCCTTGACACCCTGACAGAGAGGCAAACAGTGGCGGAGAACTAGGAAAAGAAACTTTGAACCTCTTGGGTCCCAAAGACAGAAATGTGAATTCATAAAAACATGCACATATGCACACCAGATTATATAACCCTTCTGCCACAGGTATCACAGAACAGGTGACTTTGCAGGAAGAAGATCTCTGAGCCCATTAGTTTTTGTGACATTAACAGTGCAAACTGGTAGATGTATTTACAGTAAAGCAAGTCTTGGATTTGCCCGATATAACAGACTCACTGGCAACAATCAAACTGCAATGTGAGGATCACAGTTTTGTAAATGTGAAAGTAACTACAAAGCAGTCAGCCATGTCGCTTTCTCTGCCTTGTCACCTTCTCTTTCTTCACCCATGTTCAATTGCAACGGAATAAACACTGTGTATTTACTCTTTAAAGATGAGGTATTTCTTTAACTATTGTCACCAAACAGAATTGCTAAAATTGATTGTTTCAAACAAGTTCTCAAACACTCCATTCTAGTGGTGTGCGATATTGACAAAAAATTATATTTCGAAATTTTAGGGATTTTTTCAATAGCGATAATAAAACAATGTTTTGCTGAGTGTGTTTTTGTCCTGGTACCTTGGCTGGTTTAGGCCTGTCAGGGATAAATAAATATGACACTAAAACCACCAGTAGATGGCGGCAAGGCCCTCTCGTAATGAGTGATTCATTGAATAATTTATTCACATGATTAATTCAAAACACCTGATTCATTTAGAAACAAAGCAAGCGACTGTCTTTATGAATGGATCATTGAATCACTGGCTCAAATGATTCGTTCAAATGAAATGAAATACCACAGTGTTGCTCTGAGATGTACCAATATCCTGCTCTGGCTTTGTTTGTAACTATTTTCATTGGCAAAACAGAAAAAAATGTCAATAGTGTATATAATGTACCTCGTTTAGTATGCATTTCTTGTTTGTTGAACTTTTGTATAAAATCAATACATTTGCGATCGCTCACGCACCGATATTTGGGAAAAAGGCACCCTTACTTCTGTGATATTACCCAACTATATCATATCTTATAAATCTAAAAAACAAAAACCCATACAGGGGTATTTTTGCTTTCATAACTTGAGTTAAAGGTGCATTCTAAATATAATCTAATAGGCTTCTTTACGCAGCGAATGCTTTTGGACTCTCAAGACATGTTTGTTTTTTGCATATACTCACACATACTCAATAATGTCAGCTCACACATCATTAAAGGGGTGGTTGACTGGTTTTTTTCTAGGCTTGATTGTGTTTATGGGGTGCAGTTCTAAACTGTTAATGGCTTCATTTAAAAAAAAAAAACGCATTATTTTTCACATAATTTACCTTTATTCTACACCGCTCTGACCCTTCTCCCATAAACGCGAAGTGAAGTGAAGTCTCCCATGAAGCCCCTCCCTCAGAAATACATGATGGGCTCAGATTGGTTTTAGCTGGTCCAATGTGTTGTGATTGGCTAAACCGCCTCTAGTGCGCGTCTAAACATCCCGCCCCTCAGCTCAGCGGCATGTGCTCCAGTTGTATTGTAAACCATGACATCGTCAATATTGCTTATCAGTTTGAGCCCGATTGAGATGCAGAAGATATTAGTGAAGAGGATCGCGCAGAACCTGTGCAAGCTCAGGACAGAACCAGAACCAGAACACAAAATAAAATCCAGGCCTGGTCCTCTCTCGTCTTTCACTGTCGTAGCTCCTCCTTTTATCCTTCCGGAGCTCCTCCGTGGGACTCGAGACCGGTGAGTGGTGCAGGTGTCGCTCATTATCAATTACTCCACCGGCCTCGCTCCGTTCCCACGGCTCTCGGCCCCGCCCCCACTCGTCACAACGGTTTTATCCTGATTAAATCTTTAATACAGTACGGCATAGGGATGTTCATTTTAACCGGTTAACCGGTTAACCGGTTAACCGACCGTGAGAATTTTGATCAATTAATACAATCAGTTAAACGGTTTAAAAAGTCATTTAATTATACATTTTTTCAGTCATTTATCAAAATAATGAAAAAGGTTTGCTGCATGGTTAAAATACGCTACGCGTATAGAAAAATGTGTTTTTTAGGGGGAAAAAACGTAAGTCGCGTATAAGTCGCATTTTATTATTTCATTCAGAAATAGGCCTAATGCCGACGCGAAATGTTTACAAACATCATAATAAACACTGTAAACATAACTAGACTATTTTAGTTACCCTCACTCCACAACAAATCCTTTCAATTAACAGTATTTAGAAAAGAACAAGAATCAAAAATATAAGAACCCAGGAAGTAACTCGTTGTAGTCCCTACGAGCCGTTTTTGTAGGCATTAAACTGCCAGAATTTTAAGACGATATCTCCGTTTGCATTGAACTATCAGCGCCGCAACTTTGCAGATATTGTTTATGCTCAAACAGCAACATTACACACTAACTAACGTTAAAAAATTGAAATCGCAATCAACCACCCCTTTAAAACAATTATGATATTATCGTAGACAATAAATATTGCACACCTCTACTAGGGGTGAGCAAAAATTGTTGAATATTCGATCTGTAAGATCTGCGAAGTTTGGAATTACTTTGATCTTGAATGATACAAAAATGATCTTACTAAAAGATCTTACAAAATGAAATTACTTCTGATCAAATGAATCAGTGAAACCGAGTTAT